TGGGGAGCGGTGCCAGGGAGCTGGGGCGGGGGGACAGGGGTGCCGCCCATCGGCTCTGTGCCCCCTTCGCCAGCATCCCTGCTCTCCCTGGAGGTGGGGACACCAGGCACTGCGGGAGGGTGACTCAAAAGCCACAGCAGGGTGACACCAGGTGCATGGGGGGAGCTGGGGGCCAGTGGAGGGACCAGGGGTGACGCTGGGGCCCAGCTTTCATGCAGAAGCCCTTTCTCCACCCCCTCCAGCCCCAGCACCTCCCTACCACCCCTCGCTGTCAGCAAGCTGAGCTGACGGCCCTTGGTGGCCTCTCCTCTCTCCCAGGTGTTGGCTCTGTCACCAAGAAGGTGACAGCCAGCCCAGCAGCATGCCCTGGGCATTGCCGCTGCCACGGCTGCTGTGGGGCCGGCCCGGCATGAAGGTGGTGGTCACCACCGGGGTGTTTGTAACCACCCTCTGGAACCTGTGGTGCTTCCTCAACCCCTCCGAGGTCTCGGGAGAAGCCCCCAAGCACACTGAGCCGCTGGTGGTCCTGGTGTGGGAATGGCCCTCAAAGCAGGTCCCCAACATCAGCGGGGACGTTTGCCATGAGCTGTACGGCATCGCTGGCTGCTGGCTCACCACGGACCAGCGGCTCCTGGGCCAGGCGGACGTGGTGGTGTTCCCCCACACCAGGCTCCAGCCCAGCAGGGAGAGGCTGCCCAAGGAAAGGCCGCCGGGGCAGAACTGGGTGTGGGTCTCCCTGGAGTCCCCCTCCAACACTAAAGCTCTAGCGGGATGGAAACAGACCTTCAACTGGGTGATGACCTACAGACGGGACTCGGACATCTTCATCCCCTACGGCAAGCTTGTGCCCAACCGGTCGGCCACCGTGAACATCCCCACGAAGACCAACTTGGTGTCCTGGGTTATCAGCAACTACCACAGGACTCAGAAAAGAGCTGAGATCTACAAAAACCTCTCCCAGTACCTCCACGTGAACATATACGGGAAAGCAAACAAAAAGCCACTTTGCAAGGACTGCCTCTTGCCCACGACATCCAAGTCCAAGTTCTACCTGGCCTTTGAGAACTCCATCCACCAGGACTACATCACCGAGAAGCTCTGGAGGAACTCGCTGATGGCCGGCACCGTGCCCGTGGTGCTGGGGCCTCCCAGGGCCAACTATGAGCAGTTCGTTCCTGCAGACTCCTTCATTCACGTCGATGACTTTGGTTCCCTGGCGGAGCTGGCCACCTTCCTGAAGACCATGAACTCCAGCCGCTACCGGCAGTTCTTCGCCTGGCAGAAGCGGTACAGCGTGAAGCTCTACACCGACTGGAGGGAGCGCATCTGCACCATCTGCACTGCCTACCCCAGCCTGCCCCGCGACCGTGTCTATCACGACCTGGCGAGCTGGTTCAACACCTAGCATGGGGCTGGGGTGTGCTGGGACCATCGGGGATGCATCTGGGCAGAGGATACTGGGGTGGGGGGAGCGTGGGGCACCCTCCTACAGACCAGGACATCTGGCAGGGAGGGACGCGGGAGCCCCAACCTCTCCTCCCACCCGGCTGTTGCCACACTGTGACCTTGAGCAACTCCAGGTGACTTAATGTCTTGCAAAATGGGATGAACCCCCCCAGACCTGACACTGTCCTACCTCACCAGGGTGCTGGCAGGATGAGAGGGTGCTTTGGAAATAAATGAGACAGCACTGCAGAGGCTCTGCCTGTGGCACGGGGGGTGGGCAGGGCAGGGGGCTGGCGGGGGGCTGAGGGCTCAGCACCTTCTGCTGAGTGGCGAAGCCCCGGTGGCAGAGGCCCCGTGGCGACATTTCTGGCTGGGGTGGAGGAGGTGAGCTCGGGGCAGCCCGGTGGGGCCCAGCACCCCGCAGCAGGGACGAAGAGCACAGCCTCTGGTCTGCCACTTCCCGGCACAGCCCGGCAGCACCCATTTCCCCCACCCACCCCCACTCTCGAGCTGTGGGTGTCACCATGCCGGCAAGGACCGGCAGGACACCGGATGCTCTCAGAGAGCAATCTCAGCCTGCTCAGTGCCAGGCCGAGTCAGAGAGGGATGCTGTGGTTTCTTGCTCCCCTGCCAGCACGCCTGCCCTGCTGCAGCAGGAAGCCAGCGAGGTGGTGGCGTCCGGAGCCCTGCAGCCACCCCGGAGCAAAGCTGGTCCCATGGGCGCCCCGCGGCACCGGCAGCCCGTGTGTCCTTGGCACTGCCAAGCCCCTGCGCACCCTGCACCGCGCGTGCACCACGCACCCCAGGCACCCGCTCTACAGGCACCCTGCAGTGCTGGACACTGTGCCCCACACACACCACACCGTGGGCACCCTGCGCTGTGCACGCACCCTGCACCGTGGGCACCCTGCACAGAAAGCACCCTGCACCATGGGGACCTTGCGCAGAGAGCACCATGGGCACCCTGCGCTGTGCGCACACCCTGCACCCTGGGCACCCTGCACGGGAAGCACCCTGCACCGTGGGCACCCTGCACCACACACTCACCCTGCGCTGCGTGCACCCTGCTCCATGGGCACCCTGCAGCGCACGCACCCTGCACCCCGGGCACAGGCGATGCCTAGACACCCTGAGGGGAAGCACCCATCTGGGATCAGTGGTGGCCGGGTGACAGGAGCAGGGGGTGGGACACGACTGCTCCATCTGTGCCTTCCTCCGTGCCCCTCGGCTCAGTGCCATCAACGCCTGGCACAAACAACTCATTTTGCCACAGGTTTCCCCTGGTTTCCCTCACTGCAGCCCCAAAGCCACCCAACCCCACCCTTGCCACCCCACGAGCTGCCGGCTGCACTCCGGGACCTGCTCCCCACGCCCGGGGTGCAGCGGGGCTCAGGCGTGCAGTGACACCCCCTCAGCAGAGGGGACATTCCTGCCCGAGCTGGCACTTCACTGTGGGCTTCCGATTTCGGTCTTGTTTTGTCTTCTGGGTCAACCGAAAAGGGAGCAGGAGGGGCCATGAGCGGCCGCGGGCAGGGCGCTGGGGCAGCAGGATCTGGGGACCCCGCGGGGGGCCGGGGCTCCTGCCGGGATGCCTTTTGCTGGAGCGGAAAATCAGACGGTGCAGATGTGGAAAGAAGCAAACCTCGGGGTGGTGACATCCTTCCCAGGCTTTCTGCTACCGACCCCGCTGATTGCCAGCATCCAGCACCGCCAAAGCCCCGGGCAGCAGCGGCGGTGGGGGCAGTTTCCAGTGGGTGCCGTGCCCCCACCCTGCGGGCAGGCAGGGACGTGGCCCTGGGCACGCAGGCACTGGGGAGCAAGCGGGGACACTGGGTGAGCCGAGGGGATGCCGCCCCATGGGCTGGCACCCAGCCGCCTGCAGCTCCTGCCCGGCCCACGGGAGCAAGGCTGCAGGCCAGCCCCAGGGAGCAAACCCGTCGCAGCCGAGCTGAAATAGGGGCTTTTCAGAAGCTTCCCTCCAGGCTTGGTCATTTCATGGCTTCTGCCGAGGGGAAAAATCCCTCAGGGGTGCAGACTGGTGGCAAACCAAGGTGCAGAGGCCACGGAGGTGAAAAGCGAGGCGTCATCCCCAACACTTGCACCCCCAATTCCCACCAGCTCAGCCCCCGGTGCCTGCCCGCCTGGGTTGGCACCACCGGGCACGGCCACCACGAGGCTTCCTCGGCTGGACCACGCAGCGAGGAGCATCCCTCGCTGGCAGCCCCGTGGCAAGGGGAGCCCGGGCTCCCCGTACAGAGCTGGGGGCTCTGCAGCTCCCGCTGCATCCCGGTCCTTCCCTGTCCCCAGCATCCGCCGGAGCCGCCTGCACGGGAGATCCTGCTGTGCTTCCACCCTTCCCAAAAGCAGCTATGGAAAAACCACAGCTCAAACCGGGTGGAAGGTGACCCCCGCCACCCTCCTGACCACCTCTGCTTTGGGGGGGCACAGCCCCGAGACGCCAGTGTCCCCCCAGGGCCAAGCTGCCGCCAGCCCTGCGGCGGGCCAGGCCGCAGGCACCCAAGAGCCGGGTGGGCCAGGTCAGCCCTGTTGGGGTGCCCCGGTCCAGCCCCACCGTGCCCCCCGCATGCAGCCAAACCCACACCGCTGGGCTGCCTGGCCCCGTGCAGGAGCAGGGATGCAAGGAAAGGGTTAACTCGCTCTCATGCCCCAAAGAAGTGAGATTTATTTCGTTGCCAGAGGGAATATGATTAAGGAAAAAAAAAAAATAAAAATCATCATCAACTACAGCAGGCTCAAAGGCACGGGGGTGCTAGCAGCATGGACAGGACGGTGTCGGCCCCGCTGGGCAGCCGGGCTGGGGCGAGGGACAACGGCCGGAGAGCGGAGAGGGCACAGGGGACCCAGGGTGACGCTGGGCACAAGGGCCGGGGAGGACCCCCCCCAAAACACGCCCTGCCAGCCTGCCCAGGGACGGGCGAAGCTCTCCCGTGCCACGGGGCCAGGGGCGGCTGGGGCTGCGAGAGCTCACCTCCGCCCCACGCTCCAGCCCTCCGCTCGCCCCGGCTGCCCGGGAGGGTGGGCAGAGCCGGCGCGGATCCGGCCCTGGGCCCAGCGCCCCAGCCCTGCTCTACGTCACAGGGAGGGGGCACCTGGGAAACTAGTGATCGCTACAAAGATTTTTGCTTTTTAAAAACTACAACCGAAAACCACTGGAAAAAAAATAATAAAGCCACCCCCCTCCCCCCACCCACCCCCCAAAAAAAAAAAAAATATAAAAAAAAATTTTTTTCTGGCTCTT